AAATCGAGTCAAGGAGGGCAGCCTCGGTTCCAGCACTGAGCGCAGTCCCAACACCTGTTTGCCCGGAAGCGGCAGACTGAGCGCCACTGAAATTTGAATATGAAAACGTGTGTGCGGTTAAATTGGTCACGATAGCTGGTAGACTGTGTTAGGATCCTGAAGTCGTGTCTCATTCAAACAGCAGACATCAATTGCAATGGTTTCCTAGGTTCATGTGAGTCCCGCTTGTTGTCCGCTCTGCAGAAGAATGCGCACGTTGCGTGTTGCTAGCTTGAATGGAGCTCTAGGTTGCGGAAGCAATAATAGAATACCATATGGCTAGTGGTTCCGTTTAAAACGCTGTGTGCCTAAGTTGGCGGAGGTTGATGCGATGAATTTATCGGTGGCCACAGAGTTATTCACCATCGAGGAATCAGGAAAGGAAGTAAGTGAATAACACAAGGGGAAGCAAAGTAATTGGGTAGCGTGTGACTGCAAAGGTGCTGAAGTAGCAGAAACGTAGAACATTGTGGGAGCGAGAGCGTGAGTACGTTTCTGTGGTTTGTCAGTAGGAGAGATAATACCCGGCTGCATAACCCGAAGTATGACATCGGCTTAGTAGACCCCATCCCAATCCTTTAGCAAAATAGCCTATCCACAACGCAGCGGCTCGAATTCAGTGAATCGCGCCTACTGGGAGCCTTTGTTTTGTCAGGTACAACACAACCGGCCCAATCCTCCCAAAAATTTAGTAGCAAGCTGCTGGGATACAATTCTCTAACAGAAAGCGGCAAAGATTGGTAACCTTATTTAGTGGCAGATCATATCCGCCACGTCGCAATGTGTTAAGTGGACATTTGTGGCTTTAAATAGGGGAACGTTTGACAGCCAAATACACATTACGCCTTGCGACACTGCCACTGAACCATTCACTGAAACGGGAAAATCTCTGAGCCAACCAACTGGCCCCACGGATAGATTGTTCGGCAAGCCAGTTCTTGAGTACTCAAAACCCTCTGTAAAGAGATTTGTTCACCGATCACTAATCTTCAACCTCAGATGGAACGTTTGGATGCATATATTGGCTCACAGGCTTACTGGCCAACAGCCCTATCGGCTTCACCTGGAAAGCGCATTGGTGCTGAGTGGTGTGTCCTCAAGGATTCTTCCTCTCATCAGAAAAGCTGGCAGGAACTCCGCCTACTTATGCCTTATAAAACGCTCGGCCCTGGTGCTATACATTCTTCTCTCTTCAAAGAAGGTCGCTGATTGCCGGTTCGAGAGCTCACTAACTGGTTATCAGAAGTTTGGTCAATCGAGAAGTTTACATCGACTTGGGTGGAGGCGATAACCGTCTTTATTTTTAAAATTCCCCTGTGCACAAGGTGCTCCAACTACAAGGGTAGCAATATGGTTCCCATCGCTAGTGAGTTTTGACGTTCATCGTAATTCACAGACTCTTTCTAGTGCGCGAATCGCTACAGGTTAACGTACAGGCTGGTTTCTACCCCGGTCGCGGCTGAATCGAGCAACGTATCACATGCATCCGGATCATAGAGCCCATCCGTCTATATTAAAACCAACAATCTTGTGTACTTGGATATCCGTGCTGTCGACAGGACCGCATTTTGGCACTGTCTGTTGAGTAATGGTGCTTCCGAGCAGTTATTTTCCCTATTGTTTGACTAGTACCGTCTTACCTCGGGTATAATTATGGTCTAGGACCAGCTTTCGCATTATTTGATGTTACCAGTAGAGCTCGAAAAGGATGCGCTATCACCCATTTCTCTTTAATTGTTTCGTTAGGGATATCTGTAGAAATGCGCTAGAAGAATTTTCAAGCGCTGGAGTTGAGCTTCTCCTAGGTAGTCCACTTGCATTACGTTGGTGAAGTCCCCTTTCAGAGTGACGGTTGGCTGGCCGTCCCGCATTCACTTAACCGCTTGACGATTGTAGCTTTGTAGTGTGACATGCAATTTTTACTATCCAAATGAAAAACACATTCTCAAGACTGGCAGATTCCTATACCGCTTCTTATTCTCCTTGGCAAAACACTGGATGTTGTGGAGCGTTTCATTTACATGTGAAGTTGACCACGGCTGTTAAAACTGTTAACAGTGTGACTTCGAGGCTTTTCGTGTGAGCCCGTCTTACCTTCTCTAAACTGGAGCATTTGTGGCACCGCCACAAAATCCGTCTTTCCAGAAAAGGACAGGACTATCGCGCCGCTGCCTGCTCTGGACTTAATTACAGCTGGGAGACGTGGCCTTTTCGAACAATTGACTTGCGCAGACTGTCAGTCTTCTAGCATCATTGCTCGGAGTACGTTTCCCGTGTGGAATGCTTAAGCAAGTACAGAATGGGGTAGTTGAACAGCGCGTTTTGGAAAGAGGCAGCCACGCGCCCGAAGAGATTGCCCGCTCCGACAATTTCAGTGGCTGCATCACGTGTTGCGTAAACCCGCTCAGCGTCTTTAGCTAGTATATTTGTCGCGGTTGCTTGGCAGGGATAGAGAACATGGCGCGGATGACAACCTACGAACTGGAGAAGTCGTATAAAAGTGGTTACAAAGCTGCTGGCCACGGTTGGTCGATCTCGACGCCATGGTTTAGGCCCCAGTGATACGGCACATCGCTTGTTGGTGAAACCCAGAGGTATGGCTTAAGACCGACAACGGTGGCGGACGAGTATCTCTGGGTGCTGCGACGGTGTCCTTTCCACTAATAAAAAATGCAACAAATACACAAAATCCGTCAGTGGAAACTTGCATAAAATAATTGTTGCCTATATCAGCCGGACTGGAGTCGGTCCGCAGCAGCCTTCGATGCTATCTGTCGGAAGCAGTCCGGATAAGATTGCTTGTATGCCGCCTGTAGCTGATCGGCTAACCAATAGGAGTTAGCTAATGGCATCATATGAATTTGAGGTGGACCAATCAGAATCCGAATACATTAGGTCCGGCTGCTCTTGACATCCTCACTTCGTTGCGGGTTGCACTGATTGGGAGCGGCACAACTGATTCAGACAGGTTATCCTTACGCTACACAAGGAAGCCACTACACATATTACTTACTGTGCCATCGTGATGATGGCGGTACATGGAGTCATGCTCCAAATAAGACGAGCATTTAGTAAACAACTAATTGTTCGACCAATATTTTATACAATATGTAGCTATATATATAATCCAATTTAAAAATAGCTTTGAAGAACCACATTGGATATTAGGCAAACATATTTAGAGGTAAAGCAGCCACTTTGAACGTTTTGCAAAAATCCTGAAGAGGTTCGCCAACATGACTACATAAGATACGCGAAGGCCCATAGAGCGACAAGGGACAAAGGGGTCACCGTTTCTGATCGAGACAAGTGGCGCCAGGGATCAAGAGGTGGGACTGCATAATTGCCCACTGCTTATACAGTTACATTACCTTCGCATAAGCGCAATCTAGGCGCGATATCGTCTATTCAACTTAATCATCTGACTGCGGACAAACTACGTTGATAAATCAATACAGCGAGACTAGTTTAAAAAGCTGAATGATAGCCCACAGTGTTTAAGTGAGTGCACTGCATAGGTTTGCCTACACACCTACAAGGACTACGCGAATACTCATAAGCGCGACACGAGATAACTTAGTCGCCGAGTTTGCTCAAGGTAAATTACGCCAATGATCGGGATGAGGTCTTACGCAATCGCCCATTGCTGGCAGTCATATTGCATTTAGGCGAGCACAATGTAGGCTGAAAGGCTTTCAGGTTTTCCATTTAAATATATATATATATGCATATATATATACATATTCTACTGCAGACTTTTGGTCATTACAGTTCCTATAATAGTCAACCTTATCTGGTTTTATTGTTTATTCAGTTTTTTGTACCTTGTGCAGTAAACCATTTACGTGCAGATGCTACGAACATCCAGTTTACGTAGCTTTTTAGGCATGTTACAAACAAGCGGCATCATTACCATCAGATTTCGGTTAGTTATTCTTTTAGTCTACACCAATTCCAAAATAACCATTCATAGGATCATTAAGCAATCTCATTACCACTTTACACGCTAGGTGCCACTCAATTCATCTGCAGACTTAAAAGCAATCTATTTATTTACCTCTTCAGGGATTTGCATCGCCAATCCCTGAACACATTACTGTCATATAAGCTCTGAGTTCTTTGCAGGAGACGATCGTTCGTGCACATTAACGCATGTAAATAAACTCTTTTTTGGTCCATCGTTGCCTGAAAGCTAAATTAACTTTATCGCATGAAACTTAACTACCCAAACTTGTCGGCTAGAGTGAAATTTGGATCCCCTGGAGTGAGCAAACATTGTGCTTCTGTCGTTCAAATTGAACACGTCTGGGACAAAATACGGACACCTTGAATGCATTTTCCTGCGGTACCAAACCGTAAACTGTAGATGCAACCTACTGTTGGCAAATAGGTGTAAGCTTGAGGAAGAATAGGTACGCAATTTGTACATACGCGATACTTTAACCGTAAAACAAAATCAAAAATGCATTTGAATGACCAACGCTTGTCTCAAATGTGTCCAGATGCGAGGTGCATTAGCGTCCAATACGAGCAATCGGAGCGCGCAAACGGTAGCCCGGCTGACTGCAATTAAGTTTTCACCAAATGGTAAAACTTATAGGCAAAGAACTGTGGTAACAAAGCTGGCATAATCTTGGTTACCAACATATCTGAACAGGTTACGCCACTTATTTTAATAGCAACTATTTGCCTCGCAGAGGTATTAAAAAAGCTTCAATGCGAATTTCTGCCTCTCGTCTGTGTGGACAGGCATTAACTATTGCAGAAAACGTTTACTAGTAAGATATATGGTCATAGTTTTAAAGCTGAAGATGGCTTCGTTAAAAGAGTAAGTCAATTAAAGGTTAGACTATATTGGTGTCAAGGAAACCCTCAAATCTCCTATAGAAAACAGGGGAACGAACTTTATTCCAAATTTCTCGAACTTATAAGCGTTTAAATACATATCATCCACCACTTACTTTTAGGTAGCTTTTTGTAATCATTGTATCACTTTTGCTTCCCTGGAAACCTTTTAGTGGGACTACAATTAAAAAGTCATCTTGTGTTTCCGACCAGGTGTAATCAGTTATCAATAGATACATTCTGACCGCGTTTAATTTGGTTACTAGCACACTTTAGTTTCATGCAGTAAAACTTTGCGCATCAAAGTTACCACAAGCGATACTCAAAAATATTGTGTATGTAACACGTGGACTTGAAGTATAATGATTGTCCGGTATATTGGATGAGGCGACCTCCGTCACACATGACGGAATGAATTAGTTAACTTCCTGCACAAATTTCGTTAATGTCCGTCCTAGAAACGCAAGCTAATTTTTGGGCTTGTGACAACTTCGGGATTCCTGATTTAAATTTCATGGCAGTCGGTGACTATTTAAAAGCTGGGAGAAGAAGTTCAATGTTTCAATTACGCCTGTAGTGCCAGGCGCAACATGGTTTGAACCTTTTCCGTAACCCCGTCAACTTTTCTGCCTTCATGACCTTGACCGCGGCACTGGCTATTGTGCTCTGTTGTTCGTGGCCAATCCTCCACTTTCCACTGTCTGCTTACTCGTAGAATCTCGATGCGTTGTTCTTTGAGATTCGTCCTTACTAGGAAGTTATCCATCCGCGCACGCTCACTCTGCTTTCCACTGCAGGTCTTCAGGCCTATGGTGACTTATATCTATTGACGAATACAGAAGAGCTCATCACTCTGAACAGCACTTATACCGCATATTTTGCGACCCTGCCGGGATCTTCTTGTTCGAGCTGCCGGAGTTAATGGAAATGTCATCCGATGTGAAAGCTGAAGTTTTAAGTGCAGCTAGGAAGGAGCTGCCCACAAGTTCGACAAACTTTTTGAGTAGCTCGGAGATTCTTGCTTGCTGACTTATAGTTGTCTATAATCTCCTCGCCATTCCCTAACCAAAAATAGTTCCGATAACCTGCACTATTCCAGATGGTCCATCTGCTGATGACCTTAAGCTACGGAATGTTGCAAATGTTCCTGGGGGTTCTGAGGCCATACAGCATGCAATGGACAGACTCTGGGACTGGTCTACCTTGTGGCTACTGCCCATAAATCAGGCTAAGTGTTCCGTCCACCGTATAGGTGCAACTTTCCCGACTGGCTAGCCGAACAACCTCTTCGTGGTGCAAGCTGGGTGGTTCGGGTTTGACCCGTTCCAGCAAATAGTTCGGCGGCAGTGTTCCAGGACGTGGTGGGTTTTCGCCTGGCTAGCGTTCTCCCTATAAAAAGCCACAAATGTCTGCTTAACAACACTGTGACGTGGCGGTCGTGACTCGCCACAAAATAAAGTCACTGCCCCGTGGGTATCCGAATAATCCTTTCCAACGCACGGGCATCCATCTTCTACTCGAGCATTGCCGACGATATAAGAGTCAAAGTTAGAGCAGCACAGTTACAAACAGGAACCTCACAGTGACACACTCACACGCAGTTACATAGTTACATACCCCTACATAAACATACACTGGTACGGCAAACATAACGTATTCTTGCACATTGTAGACCACGCATTGTTGTCATAATGATCATGCCTGTAAAGGCGTGCCTCGCCTTGTCGAGAATAGAAACATTATTTATTTATTTATTTATTTACTCGGGGGGGGGGCGAACTCCCCCTTGTCTCCATCCAGGTAGACCTAGGTGTCGTTCATTCCTCGTGTTTGCATTCTGGTGAAAACTGGAAGAAGGCCGCTAGTAGGGGTTTCAGAATGCTTTGGTTAATACGCCGTTCTTTCGGGGGCTTACCTGCCGACATATTTATGAAGCTGTTCTCAGCTTTCGTCCGGCCCCATCGGGAATACTGCGTCAAGGCTTGCCCGCCCTGCCTTGTTCTGGACAAAATGGAGCTCGAGAGGGTTTTGCGAGTAGGTACCAAATTGGTCGAGGGGTTACGGGAACAATCGTACCCCGAGCGTCTACTTAGCTTGGGTATGTATTCAATGCACTACCGACTGCTTCGGGGAGACCTAATCCTTACTCACCGCATTTCGACAGGGAAGGTTGGACTTGACTTGAGCTGGCTATTTAGCCCGGCTAGGTTGCCTTGTCTTCGCGGTCATCCCATAAAGCTACACAAGCCGCGTTCTGACCGGATCAGGGAGGAAACTCCGTTATCGCGTAGAGTTATCGAGCGCTGGAACTCGCTTCCAGAAAGTGTAGTCAGTGAACCTACGGTTAACGGTTTCGAGCGTCAGTTAGACGCACTTGGGTGGCAACACGAAACATTTGCCTACTCCTGACCATTTCCATCTTCAAACGTTTAGGCTTTATTCTGTCATTCTCTTAACTGTTTGTTGTTATCCTTCATTTTAATGACTTTCATTCCCTTTATCTTTCATTTACTTTACTTCTTTCTTACTTCACGTAACCTACACAGCGCGGACTGCTAGTGCAGGGAACGTTGGCAGTAATTGTTGGATCCGTGTGTGTTTCGGGTGTTTCATTTTAGATTTATCAAGAACTAACACCTTATCATTTACTGGCTCCGCGATTTGCTGAAGAAGGAACACTCAAGTGATGTTCCTGTCGTTCCAGTCCATCTGAATCTGAAGTCTGAAATCTGAAGCCTGAACATACATACGGCAGCTCCTATAGTTCATGCTAGGAAGTATATTACTTAGATTACTAGAAGTTGATAATTTCGTCATTGTGGCTAGTAACAAATTTTGGAGAATGTGGTTGACGCCTCTATCTTTCGGGAGTTCGCATGGCTCCGGGACTGGCCATTGCTTCCTAAGAAAGTAGGCCAAGAATTGCACTATCTTCATTAAAGACCAGCCGGGAGTCTGATAACTTTCTTTCTGTATCTGAACCGCCTCGCTGAGCCCGCGATTGCACACGAAGACCGAAGAGTGCAGCTAAGACCTATTGGTGCACAGTTGACAGTGGGATTCGTACGTCCTCTAGTGACCTCGAGTTCTTTTTAGCTCCACCACAGAAAGTTGCCCATGTGCTGGAATTAGGGGAGAAACCTTATCGCTTCGATGCGGCTATGTGTATGTTATTTGGCTTCGCTGAAAGGATGGGACTTGTCATCAAGCGCCATGCTGTCAAACTGAACAACAGCACACAACAAAATAATCCGCGAAGCGGGAACCCTGGAGAGACTGCGAAGCTCCGTGAGTGCAAATTAACAGACTGGGTCCCGAAATTGGTTGTTTCACTGTGCCAGCTGTATCTGGCGCACACTGTACAGGTCCTCCCATCCGCTTTGGGATTATGTGGACTAATGGGGTTAAATGCTGTCTGATACAGGAGTTAAGGGCGCCCTATTCGAAAACTTATCATCCCAGTCAACGCAATCATTCTCCTTGACAATTCAGTGAACCTGGCGTCAGCCAACAAGACAATGAATAAAACCCTTAGGTTGAAATGCGGTCACAATAAACTTAGGAAGTCTTTTTAACTTCTATTCCTTTTATTCCCAACGGCCTAATTGGGAACTAGGGTTAGGAGTCGATTTGCTTTCCCGTTCCAAAGTTAAACGTAACTTGGACAGCAATACCTTGGAAAGCATCACGCAAGTACTGGTCCTTTCTATCAACTGTCCGGTGATGAGTTGCACCGTGGAAGAGATGCCTGTGCAACAATACGCCTAATAGTTTGCTGCAGAGCTACTGATTTTTACCCGCAATAAATTGGAAGACATTTAGTCAAATACCAACAACCCTGTGCTTGCTTAGAGGATGAGTTAGGGCTGTGAAACATTTTACAATACCGCATCAACACTAGCAATGCACAACACACTTAACAACCAGCTAGACAGGTTCGGGTTTAACCCGTTCCAGCTAATAGTTCGGCGGCAGTATTCCAGGACGTGGTGGGTTTTCGCCTGGCAAGCGTTCTCCCTATAAAAAGCCACGAAGTTCTGCTTAGCAACGCTGTGACGTGGCGGTCGTGGCTCGCCACTAAATAAAGTCACTGCCCCGTGGATATCTGGATAATCCTTTCCAATCCACGGACACCAATCTTCTACTCGCACATTGCTAACGATGGCAAACATTCAAGAATGGAACAGCACAGTTCAATCGCAAACTACACAGCTACACAAACGCACACACAATTACATACTTACTTACCTCCTGCACAAACAAGCATTGTTATGGCAAACATATCGGATTTTTGCACATCCTTGATCACGCATTGTATTCTCAAATTGATCATGCCTGTAAAGGCGTGCCTCGCGTTGTCGAGAATAAAAGCTTTATTTATTTATTTATATTCTTCGACTGGCAAGATGGTCTTGGACGTCTTCCATGGCACTTGTCAAAAAGAAAACCGAATAACTGCGGCTTTGTATAGGTTGCCGAAACTAAATTAAGTTGCTTCAATGGACTCAATTCCGTTACCAAGAGAGGATGATGCCGTGAAAGCGCACACCGGATCGTGGTGCTTTACGACGTGAGACTTAGCAGCCGTCTATTGGCTTGTTGGGCTCCGGCCGGGCGGCTGGTGCAAGCCGGCATTCATCGTTTAGCCGGACGGTGTGTACTCTAGACGATGTCCTTCGGCTTGACAAATGCGTCCGCCAACTTTCAACGTTTGATGCATACAGCATTGACAGCTTTATTACTAAAAAATTGTTCAGTGTACCTTGCGGGTAGCGTAATGCAGGGAAAAGGGTGGGAAATCACAAGCAATGTCTGATTGACGTTTTAGACCAGCTAGTACAACTGGGATTGAATGTGAAACCCACTTACTACCAGTTTATAAGAAGCCAGTGACCTACTACAAAGCCGCCGATTTAGCTACTGTTGTCCTTGATAACTCGGAAGCCGCAGAATACGGTAAGTTGCCGTCTACCGACCCAGTGTTCATCTTGTTTTCACACTGATTCGCAAATGGGGATGGCCGACCAGCTAGCAAAGAACACGCTGGCGCCAGTTGGGAGGGCAAATATCTCTGGTCTCAGTGGCCGTACATAGTCGAAGTTATAATGTATTTCCAGGATGGGAAAACTCATTTGCGCCGAGTAATCGTTCCCACCATACCCACTAAATAAGGTTTGGGCAGGTGGCATGAGATTTTGGGACAAGCAGGACAGAACAAATTAGAACAAGCACTTTGCACTCAGAGTTTGTTACCCTATA